CACACACACACACACACACACACAAAAAGAAAAGAAAAAAAACAACGCACACACAGACCCGCAGACACACACACGCAGACACACACACACACACAGACACGCAGACACACACACACACACACACACACACACACACAGAGAGAGAGAGAGAGAGAGAGAGCACTCAGCCATTGTTTGAGTGTGGGCCAGGCCCCAGGGTACAATGACAAACATGGGCTCTTTCCTTATTATAACCCTGATGAGTCGTGATGACCATGTCTTTTATTATTATCATTATTCTTATTATTTTTATCAACTTGCTGATTGTTGCTCCAATGTATTTGGGAAGTGTCTCGTGCGGGAGGCCCGGTATTCGAGGTTGATATGGTTACCGGGACCATTACCCGGCTTCGGCTACAAGCTTCCAAATGGTTTTCAGCTGCTATCAAAATTCTTCTAAATTATACAGTTTGACTCCATCTGAGAAAACATGCCATTACAGCGGAGAAGTCTTCATTAATTTATTGATTTACTACAAAGCATGGCAGCGTTGATTACCCTTGGGGACCCGCTTGACCACTTTTATCGAGGGTACAACGACACTTCTCCCCTGGCAAATCATCCCAGTGTTTCCGCGTAAGCTTTTCTCGATTTTATGTGAATCCCTCGTGTGCGTCAGCCGTCATAATGTTCTTCGTCGTGGATAGTGATCATCTTTTTGTGTTGCTGGTTATTTAATGAGGTTCCTGGCGTGCAGTAGCCTCTTGCAGTTGTTCCAGCCGATCCTTCGGAAGAAGGGGAAGGGGGAGGGGGAGGGGAGGGGAGGGGAGGAGGGGAGAGCGCGGTGTTGGCGGGGAGGCCGGGAGCAGGGGCAGAGGGCGGGGGGAACCGGGGTGGCCGCCGGGCTTCGGGGATTTCTCCCCACAGAAATAATGGGACGAAAAAATATATATATATATGGAGTTGTACGGTTCTGGAACACTACGACCCCATATTTGTTTTTTCCCAAACTGCGTATTTTTTGGTATTAAAAAAAAAAAAAAAACGAAAACTGCGAGAAAAGGAAAAAAAAAAACAAATCGAAGATTTTTTTATTTTATTTTTTTGGGTTGTGTGTGGGTGTGGGTGTGTGCGCGCGTGGGGGGAGGAGGGGGGGGACCCCTGTCCCACCTATCAATCAATCAATCAATTGGAAAAAACAAAACTGAAACAAAATTGAAAAACAATACTGAAAATAAAAAAGCGCCGAGAGTGTGTGTGGGGCTGGGGGGGTTGACCCCACTTTCACCAATCAATCAATCAATTGAAAGAAAAAAAAGAGAGCACGTGTGTGTGTGTGTGTGTGTGTGTGTGTGTGTGNGAGAGAGAGAGAGAGAGAGAGAGAGAGAGAGAGAGAGAGAGAGAGAGAGAGAGAGAGAGAGAGAGAGAGAGAGTGTGGACTGTTGTCACCCTGGTATATGGACAGTTTGGGTGAACTAGTAAGTGGATATATGGAGCCCAGACATGTGAATGATTTCGTATTTCCAAAAGAAGCCGTTATGGTGATTTTAGCCTTTAAGTTAGTTACTCATAACGACAATATGGGCTGCACTAACCGGTGCCTGAGGTTTTTGCAGAGCGTTTTCGGCGCACAATGACCGTGATAGGATAATTGGTAGAAGGCGCCCACTCCAAAACCGAAAAAGGATAATTGGTAGAAGGCGCCCACTCCAAAACCTTTTCGGTTTTGGGCGCCCGAAACTCGGCTGTTTGGTACTACGGGCCCAAACAACTTTCCCCTCGGTGAAAGGCCCCTTCGTGCCGTGGCCACATCTCCATGGGCCTGTTTTTACAATGGGTGCTTTCCAGGTACATGGCTAATTCGGTTGACATGAAATTTTTCATTTTCGCCAAGCCTGTCTCAAGTGATATGTTCTATTGAGCTCGCTTTTTCGAGGCAAAGCCTCAAAGGTCTGCGTATAGAACGGGAGGGCTGTGGATCCTTCATCTCAGGCGAGCCACTCATCCCATCTTCTGTATCATCATAATTACAAAAAAAAAATAAAAGAAAAAAAAAAAAAGGACAATCTTTTCATCAACCGATCAGGAGTGTGATGGGAAAACGAAGTTCCGATCCAGCCATCACAGCAGCAGCAAATTGCGGCGAAGTTATAAATCATGGCTACAGACTGACCGATAATCTGTGCTTGCGCGTTGAGGAGGATGTGAAAATACGCTCCTTCACAATACATTGAATACAGACCGTGTGGGGAACTAACTCCCAAGAGCACACATATGAGACACATTGAGCTAGGCAAGAACACCTTTTGCTGGATCTAAGTTAGAACCCTTTCTGCGAAAACCCAGAGTAGGGTAAGAACTTAACCTGAATGTTTTCTTAACTGATTGAGGTGGATATCCCTAGCTCAAATTTAAGTTTCGGCGATCGTCGGTTCCCGTGGTTGGGCCAGAGAGACGAGAATCGCTCGTTCAGTGCTTGATCCAGATATTATTCGATTGGGCTCTCGTTCAAAAGCGAAACAGAAGCGCTGCAAAGTTTAGCCCTGACTTATAGAGACAAATTCGACAGGACAATCACACGTTCGACAAAGAGAGAGGATACTAGCAGGTGCGATGAAAGATTTGACGATTCTGATCTGATACCTCATCCGATATTCTAAGGTGAGACACACGGACGTAGGCATTTCATTCGATACTACAGAAACTGAACTTGAAAAAAAAAAAAAAAAAAAAAAAAAGCACAGCAGAAAAGGAAAGGCAAAATACGGAAGATGTCGCTGGAATTAGATGAAAATAAATTTATCAATAACTTAGTCTGTAATTAACTGAAGTATACCCCTGTAGACCCCTGTCAACCCCGTCTTTGCCTCCTACGACCCCAATGGGCCAAAGGCATCCTATTTGTGAAGCATGTATCACGTGCACGTACATCATCGGCTTGACGTCCGGAGCTGCAGGCCAACGCTTACAATATCAGAAGCTGACCGCGTAGTATTCGAGTTGCCATCGCCAGCCTCTGGCGGGAAGGTGCAGGGCAGAGGGTGAGCAGCCACGCGTCAGAAAGAGGCAGGCCCACTACAATAGTACAATGCAGTCTAGGGTCAAGATGTCGTCGTTTGCTCCGAATTCTCCTGCTCAGATGTCAAATATGAGCATCATTATGCCTTCAGTACACCAATCTGGAAGTCATGTCCGATATTGCAAACCCCCCACCCCCAAACAAAGGGCTTAACACGGCCCCCCCAGCCTAAAATGGCTCGGCTTTATTGCTTTCCTCTCTTGATCCCCAGCATAAACTTGGGAGATCATCACCCTGCCGTGGGTCTTACCGAACCGAGAGGCAGGGCACATGGCGCCAAACTTACCTACGCCTACTTGACCCACCCGCATGAGCAATGAATAAACGAAGTGGACTGTTTTTATCAGCCCTCAAATGAACACATGCGCAATAAATATCCAATTCAACGGTTTCAACCCGTCAAGATGATCCTGAATCACGGTGATGATGCTGAGCGCTGGCCACGATGCCGGCGAAGCCGTTGGAGTGATAAAAGCTTCCGACCCGGTGCCTTGAGAGGTGTGAAGGAGGAGTCGATAACAACCTCCACATCCGCGTGGTGTTGAGGCAGGCTGGCTTCGAACAGCCAGAGGTTTATGTGGAACACCTCGCTGCCCGGTGATGGCACGGCGCCCACCTCTGGCGAGCTTTCGAAGGACCAGGTTTGGAGAACCGCCCCCGAAGACGCGGAGGTGCTGGTCCAGGACACAGAGCTGGGCGACCAAGTCATTGTATGGATCGTGGAGTCCTGCCCGGCGACCGTGAAGCGGAGGCGTTGGCCCGGCAGCTGGTACGGCTGGACTGCGTACTGGGTGTTGGTGGTGTCGCTGGCAACGCCCCACTTGGCCACCTCCACATCGAACTCGCGATGGGGGTTGGACAGCTCTCTTTGTGCGTCATCGGCATAGGTGAAAAGCCCCAGGACGACGTTCTCGTGCAGGCCGTTTATGGGAGATGACACCCGCACCGTATAAGTGCCGTACCCCAAAGACGATGGAAGGAGAACCTCGGCGCATGACCACCCTCCCTTTGCGTTCCTGGAGATCGTAAGATGCAGTTTTCCCTGCTCGTCCACGGTCGCCAAGCTTCCGTCCCAACGATTGGGCCCAGGTTCCTCTTCTCCGGCGGAAGTCCGCCTATGCCAGAGCCTTCCCGAGAAGCTGAGATCAGATGAAGAAGCTGCTCCGACAGTCGACGAGGATGAAGCAGCCGCAGCAGCGCCTTGGGAAGCTTGGGCATCCAACGCCGTGGCGAGCATGCCACCATTTCCGAGGGGATGACCGCACGCCACGAGGATCATGATTACTGGAGCAATGAGCAGGAGCCCCATTGTGGACGCGATCAACGTCGGATGATGTCGAAATCTTTTCCGTCGACCTGCGAAGTCTTCAATGTGCGCTTCACGAAGGAACAGCAAGAAGAGGGGGAGCGAATCGAGGAGGGGTATGAGCAGAAAGGTACTACTGAGGATGAGAAGGGGCCGATAGTTACAAATACACTCAACACGACAATCCAAACCCGTGAAGGTGTGCCCAGCTTGATGTCACTTGTAGGACTTGGACACGTCTGGCTGCGAGTTCAACAAGATGAGATTCACCACGCCATCACGGCAGATTGCGCCCCTCCAGCAACAAAACTGCGTGGGCTGTGCCCCCGGGACGATTGCATAGCCTGCACAGACCGCAAATGGACCGATTGAAGGCTCGATGGACAGCAGAGTTGGCCGCAGAAGTGTCCGCGAGATGGATTTCGTTTGCAAAAAACAGCAGCTATGTAACGCCAGAGTCACAGCAGCCGGATGTAGTGAACCAATGGCTCTTCAACATCCGACCGAACACTATAGCAGCTCACCAAGCTAATCCTCGTACGCCCCGTCACATAGCTGCTCGAAGGCACGAAGCTCACGAACACCGACAAAGGAGGTCTCTGGGCGCAGTCCAAGGAAAATGTCGTAATGGAGAGCAGCGCGAATACAGGCTTGAATGATTCGATGCTTGATCCGAGCAGTGAAACGACTCGAAGGCGACGAGGAGTGTGTTGTGGACGGACACATGACATTGAAACGTTCTATTTATATGGACAACGAGTCGAAGGCACAGCATAAGACGGGCTAGAGATGACAGAGTGAAGACCGCCGTGCCTATTTGTCCGCCTCTAGTGACTTGTGATCCGGCCATCATCCACCTTCACTACTCTTCCCGCCAAACAAGCACACCGCAGTGCGCGGCAAAACTGCTACCTGCGGCTTGAATTTGGATCGAAAAACATGTACAAATGTCACCCCGCTCCGGTAACAAAAAATAAAAATCCTTTGGGCAGCGCCGCAACGGTGAAAGATTTGGAAAATGCGGCGGCAGAGAAATTTCCGCCTGATTTTCGCTACAGAAGACGAAGACTCGCCCGCCGTTGGATGTCGGGATGATCTTGGCGGGGGAGTCTTTGACTTCTGTTAGGAAAGGCATGCGGGAACTGCCCGTGGGCGGCATTTTTCAAATCTTCCAAGGGAGACATTGGGCCTTGCTGCCCTGCTCCCCAAATGTGGAAAATGAGACTGAATCCTCCGTTAAAACATGGAAAACTACATTGCGGTATTATTTGTCGTCTGTTCATGTGGAGAGCAATGGAGCGAGTCCCATTGTTACGATTTGCGAACGGTAACAACGTCACCCCGCCCCCGTCGAAGATTTGAAAATTGCCAATTTTGCCGCTGAACATTTCCCGCCTGTCTTTCCGTACAGATGTGGAGGACTCGCCCGCCGTGGTGCACAACCCGCAATCGCCGACTACTGCGCCATCACCTTAGCCTAGGAATTTCTGCGAGTTTGGCCGAATCTAGCCGCATCTGCGGTTGGATGACTCCGGAAATATCCTAGAGTGCGCGGATTATCGGCGAGCCACCGTAGAACGCCGCTATTACTGGACCAAGGCCGTACCAAAACCAAACCATGGACAGACGGGCCAAGCTCAGTGGGTGTGCCCATGAACTCTCGAAATAGAGACCGATGTTCAAATCCAGTTGTATTCATCGGGAAGTGAAGTTATTTTCTCAATAAGGCTCTCTTCTCCAAGGCTGTCTTCTCCATGCACCTGGGCGGGGCAACCCAGCCCTTCTCGCAGGGCTGAGGCAGTCAAGCGGTCTACAAGCTGGGGCCTGGCCTGATCAGCAGTCACGAGGGAAGCATCAGGCAGATCAGGCCCTGCAACTGTCTGGACCTTATGCTCTGCACCTAGAACAGGGGTCAAGATGCAGAACGCAGGGGGCAAGCCAGGCAGGGTTCTCGCTGGGGGTGGGCTGGGCCAGTGGATCTTCACAGTTCTTGAGAGGTCTTGCCGTCAGTCAGACTTGTGTGTATAGCGTAGCTCAAAATGTTTGAGTCGTGGTGCCTGCCTTCTGTATAGCATGGGATGCCCGCACCAGGCGCTCCCCATGAATAGCATAGGACAGCGGAGAACCATCAACCACGTCCTCAGGGGGTCTCTTCTCCCTCAGGGAACTACAGGGGGAGCAGTCAATCCTTAGAGAGGTGGTGTGAATTGGACTCTGTCTCCCCCCCCCCCCCCCCNCCCCCCCCCTTCTTCCTTTACAAATAATCAGATTAATGCATTATTTGGTACGGAAAATTCAGTGGCACAGGCCATGGGACTGGGAAAAGGAAATGATGGATTTTGGTCCAGGGTGGGCATGAGAATTTTGCACCCGGGGGAGGACGAGCGTAAAGACGATGAGTTTCTTCTCCAACGGAGTGCAAAGTAACAAAAAAAAATCAAACGTGATTCTTTTTTTTTTTTTTTTTTTTAATTTGTTGCACATTTATTTCAAAATGCAAAGACATCGGGGCCGGGGACCCAAAATTTTCCCCGGAGTTACCCTGGGCCCTTACCCAGATTAGGCTCTGCTGGAAACCGGGTCCAGCGTCCCCTTTTCTCTAAGTGTCCAAATGAACTAGCAAAAAGAATGCACATGAAGCTCGGTAAAAAAAGGGGTTCCTTCCGGGAACAAATATGCTCTACTTCAAGCTCCAGCTGGAAGGATCCAACTCCTATCTACATAAATCTGCATTCAGTTACATCAATCTCAGCATAGTCTACAAAACAACTACTCAAGGGTATATTACTGCACTCGAAAAGTCAAGCTTGACCACACATACCTTTCCGGAAAACTAAACCAATTCTATCCTTTTACCCGGGAACCCCTCACTTTAGAAGGGCATGAATCTCCACAGCATGTTACATCAGTTCGGTACTGCAGTACTATGACGACAATTCTACAATTCTAGGGGTCAAAACTAACGACCCGCCGGTTTTCCCGGACACAAAAAATTGAAATCCAAGATAGAGAAGTATTTGAATCTCCACAACAACCTCAACGATCTGCTTCAGATGCATAGAACAAGGCCACCTCAGCACCTATCCAAACTGCCCAAATTCCCAAAGCAGCAGAAGGAAGGGAAGCTTTTTCCAAACATGTTGGTGGAGGTGGAAGAAGCCCCTAGAACTTGGTTCTTAACTTCATAGTGGATCCCACCTATGATGGGTGGGTCTTTGACAATAATTTAGAAGAACCAGACTTACTTGGCCCACAACCAAAAAGCCAGACATCTTTCCCCTAGCAAACAAAGACTATCATGAAAGAAGAAGGTAATATCACAAAGATTAATGCTATGCCCATCAAAAACTCCCATGTCATAAAAGGAGGAGGAAGTGAGGGAGGATCTTCTCTGGGATCAAGATTCGGTTAGGGAACAGACTGAATAAGAGTACAACAAGGAACTGAAAAAGACTCAAAAGAAAGCTCATGAAATCTTTAACCTTAAAGAAAAGGAAAACGGAAAGGAAAAACCGGCAGAAAACGACAAATCTACAAACTAAGAACAAGCGACTCTTAGACAACAACCCCAACCGAGAGGAAGGACAAGCGCATTCAAAGAGCAGAGGAACGAGCACCGCCGATGGTGATGCTGCCAGTCCTCAGACATGACTACAAAAGAACTCATCCAAGACTGTCATACAGATTCTGCTATGAATGAAGAGAACAACAATGGCAACAAAGGTTATCGTGGCCAGCCCATATCAGCAATCAGACACCCCATCCCAACAGGTCTCTTCAATGGCTATGTGAGTACATTGAAAAGGCAGAGAGGGAGAGGGAAAACCTCTTTAATATCCGTACGCATTCCGTTTAGGCCGAACACCAGAACCCGAACGACCAGATGTCCAGCCCCCGTTGGAAACACGTTCGGCCAAACGTGTGCGACACCCCGTACGGCCCATACAGCCGTACGTACGACCGTACAAGCCGTTTCGCCGGCCTTCCCTGGGGGGTTTTGACACGTGAGGGGGTGGGGGGGGGTGTTCATGCCCCTCCTGAAGTAAAAACCAAGAAAAAAAAAATTGTTCGTTTAAGGGGTGGGTGGGGAGGGGCGGGGGGGGGGGGGGGGGTTTKGGGGAAAAAAAAAAAGATTGATTGATAGATTGATTGAAAATTGCTTGATTGATTGATTGATTGATTGATTGATTGATTGATTGATTGATTCAATTTCATTGATTCATTGATTCATTGATTGATTGACGCATGGTAATATTACAAACACTGTCTGCGCACCACCCAAGGGTAGTCCACAATGTTGTATGTTGGTTGTGGGTTTCACAGGGTTTGCTTGGGGTGTTGGTCTCGGGTGTTCTGATGTTCTCCCCAGTCTGGCATATCACACATTCGTTCCAATTCCAGTAGTTGCTCATACGGTAGAGTCTTGGATAACATGTTACAAGGGTACGGGTTCGAGCTTGGTTCGGTCCTTGGGGGGGTTCCTTGTCCAGCTTGCCCCGTTCTCTCCTCTATACACACACATGATTCACAGAGTACACATAGCTTTCGGGCATACACACGTAGCTTGCGAATTATATATATCGCCTATGGGTTACATACATAAGTTTCCACACATGATACTGTCTACATAGATTCACAGAATATACAAACAAAAAACAGGCTGGGGAGCTAGTCACTGGTGGGGTCTAGTGCCTGCAGTAGGTTCAGGTAGGTTGAATAGGGTGCCATTGGGTGCAGTTCCTACTGACATTCGGATAGAACTGTCTGCGGCTATATATGGGGCCTGTACTAGTTCATTGTCTGGGCCTGGCGTTCGAAGTTCCAGTTCGACAAGGTTCGTCCGATTCCGCTTCCACCAGGGCTGGGCGACCTATCAGCCCTGGTGCCTATCACTGCTGATCGGTCCCAGTTGCCTGCCCGTTCGTAGGGCAATGGTCCCGAGTGCTGGCCACACTGAGGTTGGATAATGGGATAGGGGGTGCGCTAGGAGTATTGACGTCAGGATGGGTTGGGAGGTGGTCTCATATTCCAGGACACCCGCGGCTCACACTTCCAGGTGATCACTGTGCACACACTGACTGGTGTCTACAACATTATGTGTGACAGTGCCGTACCCCCCTTCACTGTTCACGGGGTCGGTGAACGAGGGCCGTCACTGGTCACGAAAATGGTGACCGGTGGTAGCTCAAGGAGTTCACGGAGAGCGGGATCAGTTTTTTTTTTTTTTTTGGCTGGGGGGCCTGGTTTATTTTTTTTATAGGAGGGTGGGGGTCATCCGAGGGTTACCCCCCATATTTTTTTAATTGTTTTTTCACGAATAATATTGTTTTGAATTAAGAACGAAAACGAAATGCAACCAGGCAAAATAAGCATTTTTGTTTGTTGTTTTGTAGGTTATTTCGATTTTTTTTTTTTTTAATGTCATCACGTTGTGGGGCTTGAGGCATGTGTTACATGCTGCGCCTGCAACAGGCTGCACGGCCCCCCCGTGACGTTTTCAGGCCAAAAGCCTGAAAAACAGGGCCTACAGGCCCTTTGTCG